TGGAGCTCTGTAAGAGTAGAGGTAGAAAAGCCTGTTCTTCGAAACAAGTGAGTCTCAGAGAGAGAAGAAAACGAACCGAAAGAGAGGTTTCTTCTTGCCACCAAATGTTTCTTCAAAACAAGTGAGTCTTCAGAGAGAAGGAAAAAACCGAAAGAGAAGGCTTGTCACATTGCTTCTTAGTCTATCTAGACTGTGAACTGACAAAAAACAGTTTTTGAGACACAGGTTAAAAGCAATAATTTTAACTCCAATGTGCCAACTTTACATCGCCACGACACTCTATTACCTCGCTACCGATCTATGCGCTCACCAGGAAAGGATGCTGGCAGACACCACACTCTACCGTCTCCGATCCAAAGCTCGGAACCTCAACCTGTACAAGAAAGTAGCTTAGCTTCGACAGTCGGACGTAATACAAACAGAACCACGCACCTCCAGATGCACTGTGCAAGTTGGACAAGCAACGTCTCGCGTGCGGCGTCTGCTACCGTCGGTTGATCTTGAAGTTCTCCTAGTTACTCCATTTCGACCCCCAGACGCATCCGAACCACAAGTCGGACATCCGGCTGTGCTTCCTGTTACGATTGAAACGCTCCCGCACTTGCTGCAGTTGAGCAAGGACGTTTGACCTGACAACTTGTCAACAGTCTTCCGTGGCGGAGCATTACGTTCCAGTTCCTCCTGTTCGAGCAGCTTTCACGAATCAGAACTCGTCCTATCTCAAGGCAGTACCAAACCTGAAGCTTCTTCGCAAGATCTTCATGTGACTGCTGAGATGCAAACTTGTTGCTAGTCTCTTTCGTGTTGGTCAGCCTTTGTGTAACCTCAGCCTGTCACAGAGAGCGTCAGTCAAGGTTTGAGAAATGTCAAAATCTTACCAGACAACGGTCACAAACACGAACAATCTGTGCATCTTCATCGGATGTCAAGGCTGTTCTTCCGCGTGTGCACTTGTCACAAAATATATCACCGCAATTCCGGCAATGGTGCTGTTAATCACGAAGATAACTGTGAAACCATGCCAGCTTAATATCGATATACTTACTCTCCGAAGGAAAGGCCCGAAGTCACTCGAACAAGCTGTACATTTTGTCACCGCTTCGTCTGGAACCTAAACAAACGCAATACGGATATCATGCTCCAATTCAAAAAACATACCCAATGATCCTTTTCTTCTTGAACTGGTGCCTTGGAACGAGTAAGCCATTCTGAGAAGGTAAACTTCTTCTCAGGAATGACATTTGAAGAAATCGAAGCCTTCGCTGCGTCACTTTTCCCAACCATTTCACATAGCTACACCGAAAAACTCTGATTTACTTTACAAGGTTAAAAATTAAACAAATACCTGAACACATGCTGCAGTTAAAGTATCCAATATGGCATTCGTGGTGGAAGCACTGGACTGTAACCTTGTTCTACGTTGCTCAAAATCGACGGCGCTCTTGGCCCAGAACGTAAAGACCGATGGCTCATTAACCTGCAATCAAAACTTGAGAAACTCTCTAAATTCATGCTTCAGAACTTACTTCCCACTTCGTAATGGTGTCGAGAGGATAAATTCGCAAGGTCCGTCCGGAGCTTGGATCAACAAGTCGAACTCCATCCAAACCGATCTGTGTAAGCAGGAGAGTTTAAAGCAATCGAGAAACAAACGCAACGTAATGATCAAACCTGGCACACAACATTCGTCGGAAGACCCACGGAGCTCGAGTCCTGTAGAAGCTTTACGTGATACTTTTGCACGCCACCGCCTCTCGACTCACTGTCAACTTTCGGCAAAGCCTTGGCCAACTTCGGCAGATCTCCGAGCGGATTACTGCTCTCGGAAGCCCACCGCGCCGATCCGGTCCCCCTCGATCCATACGGCTGAGAACTTCCACCATCATAGGCATAAACTCCAGTAGAGTAATCCACTCGACTACCACTGTCCGTGCTGTAAGAAGAAGACTTCTCCGCAACACCTCCATATCTTCCATCGCTGGCGTGTGGATTCTCTTCGCTCACCGCCGGCTCATATCCCCATCTAGACGCTGCTTCACTGTACACCGCGGCATCCACAGTGCCATATCCTCCACCATAACTCGAGCTCCTACCAAGCTGGTAGTCGGAAGTTCCATAAGCCGAGGGCCAAGCATGCGTGTAAGAACTGGCGGCCGGCTCAAACGACGATCTCTCGTGAGAGGGGAGGCGATCAAACGAAGGAGCTCGCGGCGAATAGGACGGATCGTGCGTGGAATACGAGAAAGTGGCTGGATCGGGCGGCGGTGGAGCGTAAGCCGGGATCTGTGCATACATCCCTGCGCCGCTCTCCTGTGCTGTGGATCCGGTATAGGAGGCGAGGTAATCCGCGGAGGAGGAGGAGAGAATGGGGGAGCTTGGGGCGTAATTCGCGTAGCTGCTGGGGTGATAATACGGGGGATTCGATGGCGGCGAAGCGTAGGAAGGCGGCGATGGCGATGGATAGGCGGGCGTCATACCTGGAGTAGCGGCGCCATAGCCAGCGTGTTGGTGCTGCATCGTCGACGCGCTCTCTCGCCCTAAAATCTTTGCGTGAGAGAAAAAGCAAATGCTAGTGTGCCACGTCAGCGCTAAGATTGTTTGCCCGCATATTCTTCCCCTGTACTCTTTGGCCGCTTTGGTCGCGCGTCTTTGTGTGGAGAAGAGATGCGCTCTATCCACATAGGCGCGATGGCGTCTCCACCGCCAAAGGAGCAAAAAAATGGAGCTCCTGGAGCCAGGATTCTCAGCAGCCGAATGATACCCGTCGAGGAGATGAAGAGGGCGGCACTGATTGATCGCAGTGGTGAGTTTCTTCTCGAATTAATTCGCATTTGCTAGAACAATTCTTGCAGGCAATGGAACCAGCCTGAAGAAGATCCCGGAAAACGCTAATGGTAAACGCAAGTTTTTCCCTCGAATTCATTCAAATTTCCTAGGAAAATTCTTCCAGGCAATGGAACCACCCTGAAGAAAATCCCGGAAAACGCTAATGGTAAACGCAAGTTTTTCGCTCGAAGACGAGTTCTTCCTAGCAACTGAGTCTTCGTTTACGTAGGAAATGGAGCTACTGGCTTGAGAAAAATCTCGGAGAATGGCAATGGTAAGCTAAAGTTTTTCTCTTAACGACTGCTACATCGTTTCTACGTAGAAGATGGAGTTTCTAGTGGCACAATCAAGCTGTCGGTCGACATAGAAAACTCTTTCAAACTTCCAGAAAAATCTGGCAATAGCGGTACGAGGATTACAAAGTCGGCGCTCCTCCCTTTGAGCGACCGAGTGGACGTTTTGCCGTCGGACGAGAACTTTAGCTGGTCCAAAGAGAACTACAGCAAGCTGCAAAGAACCATCGATGTGTGGAGCTTTGTGTTAAGCTTGAGAGCGAAGCTCTTCCTGATAGACGCCAAATGGTCATACGTTGGAGGATTCAGCGAAGAGAAGAAGGTACTTAGACGAAAGAGGTAGTGTTCTTTCCATATCTCGCTGTGCAAAGTTTTCTAACTCTTGGTTTGGTTTCTTTCACGCATCAGATTTCACGGAGGCGTAGCATAGCAGTGTGGGTGAAAGAATCCATACTGCAGCTCGGACCAACTTTCATCAAACTTGGCCAGTTGTTTTCGACGAGGTCGGACTTGTTCCCAGCTGAATTTGTGGAAGAGCTTGCAAAGCTTCAGGTGACAGTCTCGGTGTTTGTGGAGAATGTTATGCTAATGTGTGCTGTGTAGGATCGAGTTCCAGCTTTTTCTCCAGAAAAAGCAGAGCTCATGATCGAAAACGAGCTGGATACTCCGATGCAGGTGCTCTTCTCGGAGTTTGAAAGGCAGCCTTTGGCAGCTGCGAGTCTTGGACAAGTAAATCGAAGTTTTGCTTTCAGCGTGTTGATCAACGTTCTAAGAACTGTTTTATTTTAACAGGTGCATAGAGCGGTGCTTAGAAATGGCGAGCAAGTCGTGGTGAAGATCCAAAGGCCTGGCTTGAAAGAGCTGTTCGATATCGACTTAAGTAAGATTTTGTTTTCTCGTTCTCTTGTCTTACAAGTTTGTTTCAGGCAATCTTAAGTTTATAGCGGAATACTTCCAAAAGGACGAGATGCTTGGCGGTCCTTTGAGAGACTGGGTGGGAATCTACGACGAATGTGCTACGTAAATACCATGGTTTTTGTTATGAGTCCTTACAATCACTCTTGCAGAGTTTTGTATCGGGAAATCGACTACATAAATGAAGGACGAAATGCTGATAAGTTTCGACGTGATTTCAGGAATATCAAGTGGGTGAAAGTCCCTGTAAGTAGGAAATCTTGCTCCAGTGTGCATTTCTAACGCGGGAAGAGCTTTCTCTGCAGAAAGTTTACTGGGATTTTACGTCGCGAAAGGTCATAACACTAGAGTATCTCCCAGGTACAATCGATTGGTAGCCGTCCGAGCTTTACTTCTATCATCTCGGTCTTGCAGGCATTAAAATCAATGACTTGGCAGCTCTAGACGCCGGTTCCTACAATCGCTCTCTTATAGCATCTCGGGCAATTGAAGCTTACCTCATTCAGGTTAGCGAACTCGAAACATTCCTGTTTACGTTTTTTCACTATTGTTTTCTGTTATGTTTCTAGATCTTAAAAACTGGATTTTTCCATGCTGATCCACACCCGGGAAACTTAGCAGTGGAGGTCGATGGATCACTTATTTACTACGACTTTGGGATGATGGGCGAAATCAAGTCTTTCACAAAGGAAAAGCTTCTGGAGCTCTTCTATGCGGTGTATGAGGAAGATGCTTCAAAGGTAACTAGAGCACTTTCACATCAAAGATAATAGTAGCATTTCGCAGCAGGTTATTCAAGGATTGGTAGACTTGGGTGCTTTGGTTCCAACAGGAGACATGGGACCTGTAAGTTTTCTTTCTAGAAATTCTAGATTTTCAAGCAGAGAGTTAACTTCCATGCTAAAAACAGGTAAGAAAGACAATACAATTCTTCCTGAAAAACTTGACGAGCCAAAGACCCGATCAAGCCACAACGTTCACGGCTATAGGAGAGGTACGCGCATGTCAAGCGTATACAAGCCAATCTAACATGTCTCTCACGAATGCTAGGATTTGTTTGCCATTGCTGTGGACCAACCATTTCGTTTCCCATCGACTTTCACATTCGTGTTACGTGCTTTCTCGACTCTGGAAGGTTTTCTTTCACAAACTTTAAATGATCATGCTTAAATTGTTTTCTTTTTGTTCAGGCATAGGCTATATTCTTGATCCAAAGTTCTCATTTGCGAAGATTGCTGCTCCATACGCTCAGGTAAACAACCTGTTTCTATGAATCTTAACATTCTTTTTTATTTACAGGAGCTTTTGAACATCCGAGACTCTAGAAGGGATTTCGTCCAGGAGCTCCAGCGCCAAGCTATGGAAGTAAGCAAAAACCATTTGATCGTTTCTTTGTCCTCGTGCCAAATACCTTGTGCTCGTCCAGACACGGGATGCAACAGTCGCGATGCCAATGAGAGTCCAGCACATAGAGAAATTTATGCAGCAGCTGGAGGACGGCGATATCAAGCTCCGGGTGAGAGTTCTCGAGGTAAGCGATCGTCGCTCCACAAAGTTTAGAAGATTATAACACAGGAATGATCGCGATACAGGCCGAGCGAGCAGCAAGGAAATCCTCGGTTTTGCAAACCACGACCATGAATCTGGTGGCGGCTGCGACGCTGGTAAACGTGGGTGTGACTTTGAGCACCCAAGGACTGCAAGACTTTGCTATAGCCTCTTTCCTTGGCGCTGGTAAGTGATCTTCGTTATGGAAAATCGCAGTAACTCAAAATCTCCTATTGCGTTCACAGGAGCATTCTCGATGTTCATCTTCTGGGGGATGAAACGCGTCAAGAGTCTCGATAAGTTTGAAGATATGATCAAGTAACAAGTGAAAAGCCATATACACATTCATGAAAAAATCCATTCTTTACATACATACATTACATTGCTAGAGTCTTTTACTAAAGTTGACTCGCTCCATTTGACTTAGCTGACTTAAGCTTTAAACTTCCTATTTCGTCGGTCCGCGTCCGATTACACGGGTTGTACAAGAATTTCTATTAACATAGTACGTCGAGAGGAATGGCCAAAGACGTGCATTTGACAAGAACCAAACATATCGTGCTAGAAAAAAAGAACATAGTACGTCAAGAGGAATTGCCAAAGAGTTAAAATCAGCGCTTTGACAAGAACCAAACATATCACTGCAAGAAAAAATTAAGAAAACGAAGAACATAGTGGAATGGCCAAAGACTTCAAATCAGTGCTCTTGACAAGAACCAATCATATCACCACTAGAACTTATCACAGTCGGATCGAGCAACGGGATGTTTTGGACTCAAATGTGCCAGAGCGTTTGGTTCTCCTTTTGAATCAAAGATACCTTTTCCAGCAAGAACAAGCGAGTTAGGACCAGGCAGAAAAAGTGCATACCAAAGTGTAGTATCAGTACCCCGAGCTTTCTCTCAGCCACCTTCAAACTCCTCTGAAGCTGGACTTAAGTTGGCCATCATCGCGTAAGCAGACGAATCCTTTGCATCCACTCTAATCAGCTCCCGGAACGCGATCCTTCCCAGCTCCACATTTTTCCACTTGTGACAGGCACCCAGGAGCGTCCTCCAAGTAACGTCGGTCGCTTCATACGGCATGCTTCTCGCCATGTCTACAGCCTCGTTGAGCTTGTTGGCCCGTCCCAGCAGATCGATCATGCTGTGGTAGTGCTCGATGGCAGGAGCTATTCCTCCCGACGACAGCATGGCCTCGAAGTACTTCTTTCCGGTCTCCACAAGCCCCGAGTGGCCACAGGCCGTGAGCAGACAGAGATAAGTCACACCGTCTGCCTGTTGGCCTGCCTCGACGAGCTCGTTGAAAAGAGAGAAAACGCGTTGAGTGTCACCCTGGCGACTGTAAGCCGAGATGATCGTGCTCCAGCAGACCGGGTCTTTTATAGTCGAAATAGAGTCGAAGACGAGCTGAGCATCGATCAAGGTCCCACATTTGCCGAAGCAGTCGATGAGAGAAGTTGCCAAGCTCGCATCGTCCTCAAGTCCCTGCCGGCAAACCTCTCCATAGGCAGCTTTCACAGCTCCCAAGGTGGCGGCGCTTGCACAGGCTTTGACAAGAGCAGCATAAGTTCTCGAGTCCGCCAGACAACCTTCTCTTTGCATCCGCGAGAAACTTTCCAGCGCTAAGTCCCCGTGACCGTTTTCAGCGTAGCCGAGAATCAAAGCTGTCCACGAAACAACGTCGTGCTTGGACATCTCGTCGAAGACTCTGCGTGCGTCCACCATGCTGCCACACTTCGTGTACATATCCACCAGGCTGCTCGGGACGAACACATTCGAAGCCACTAATCCATCCTGTGCAGCTCGAGAGTGAATCGCCATCCCCTTCTCTAGAGCTCCGACTTTCGCAAGTTCCGCTTCCTGTTCAAGTTCTTCGTTTCCACTGGCTGGCTCCTTCTCGGCGAGGCATGTGCATGCCTTGATTGCAACAAGGTAGCTCCGAGCGTTCGGCCAGCACGCTTCAGCTCCAAACATCTCTTGGAACAAATCCAAAGCCACCTCTGGCTCCCCGGTTTCAGTATATCCCCGCATTAGTGCTGTCCACGAAACTACATCCCTCGCAACTATCCTGTCGAAGACCCTGTGCGCGTCCACTAAGCTCGCACAGGTAGCGTACATGTCCACTAGAACGTTCTCCACGAAACTGTCACGATGACAACCACGGTTTAGAGCTTGAGAGTGAACTCCCATACCTGTTCTTAGTGCCTGGAACTTCACCACCTTCCCATCGATTTGCGTCGGGCTTTCCTTCTCGGCAAAACCAATGCATGCCTTGAGCACCGCAATGAAAGTCGAGCCATCTGGTGCGCAAGCTTCTCCTGTTCCCATGCGCCGAAACAGATCCACAGCCACCTCTTCCTCATCGTTCTCGGCATAGCCGAGAATCAGTGCGTTCCACGCGACAGAGTTCCGGTGCTCCATTCTGTCAAACACCCTCCGAGCCTGGACTAAGTTGCCGCATTTCGCAAACATGTCCACCACCGTGCTGGCAACGTATAAGTCGGTGTCGAAGCCGCTGCTCACAGCCTGTGCGTAAATTTCCATCCCTCTCTTCAAGCTCTCGAGCTTGACGAGCCTGCCATCCACTCGCCTCGCTTCCTCTCTCGCCGCCAGGCTACTGCAGGCCTTGAGCGCGGCGAGGAAGCTCCGTGAGTCCGGAGGGAAGCCATCTTCACGTAGCATGACAGCGAAAAGCTCCAGCGCTACGTTCTCCTCGCCGTTTCCTGCATAGCCGAGCATCAGCGCGTTCCAAGAGACCACAGTGCGACGAAGCGCGGCTCTATCGAATACCTCCCTCGCGAGTTCCATGGCTCCACACTTCGCGTACACATCCACCAGCGTGTTGGCGACGAAGATGTCCGTGTCGAAGCCAGCGCTCGCGGCTCGAGCGTGCAAATCCTTCGCCTTCGCGAGCGTCGCAACCTTGACGATCTTCCCATCGAGCACAGCTTCTCTCGTCGCAAGAGCCGAGCAGGCCTTGAGAGCCGCGACGAAAGCCCGAGAATTCGGCAGAGCTTCCATGCTTTCGAAGAGCTTGAGCGCTTCGTCACCTTTGCCACTCTCGGCATAGCCCAGTATCATCGCCGTCCACGAGACAACGTCGCGAGCCTCCATCTGATCGAAGACTCTCTTCGCTTCCGCGAGGCTCCCACACTTGGAGTACATGTTGACGAGCGCAGTGGCGACGTAGATGTTGGATTCGCGATCGTGGGCCATTTCCGCGTGGATCTTCCTCCCCTTTCTCAAATCCCGGCAGGACTTCAATGCCGCAAGAACAATCGACGTAGCCCTGTCCACCTTGCGATTCCCGGCACCGCTCTTCCCAGAATCCACGCCTCCCGCCTCCACAATCTCTAGCCCTAGCGAAGAACTCATAGCTACCGAGGATTTCCAGCGTGCTCCACCCGAGAAATCCCGATATTTCGACGGCAATGCGGCAGGATTCCTTGAGCGGCTAGAGGAATGCATTTACCTCGACGATCGTGGATTTCTCTCGGAGACATGGAGCAATCCCTAAAACTAGCTCCCAATGGCAGCTCGAATATATATGATGTCCTCCATCTCCCCCATTCTCTTGCTTTATATTCTTTGGTGCTCTATAGTTTGTATTTCTATAAGGTAGAAAGAGTGTGAGACGAAGAAGTCCTCCAAGGAGCTTGTGAAACGCGGCCGCCATGGCGCTATTCTTCGTGTTGGTGGTGGCGTCTCTCGTTTGATCCCCGTACAAGGTAGTTCTTCCTCGTGGGCTTGCCTAGAAATCGAGCACGCATTCGCCAAAGAGAAAGATTTAGATCTCTCTTCTCTCGCGACTCTTGGTTATTTTTCTCTCTTTGATTTATTCTTTGGTGTTTGTTTTTGACGACGATCGTGAGTCTAGCTTACACAGCCGCTCACTTCCATAGGGCTGGAAATCCAGCGCGGAGCTCTCGAATCCGAGCGATATACATGTAAGTCTCCTCAAACTTTCAGCCATCTCGCGTGATTCAACGTAGAAACTTTTGCATCTAGCAGCGCTTGTGGGGGTTTATATGTCCAGTGATCTGGATTCCTCCTCCATGCAACCGAGCTAGCTCTCGATTCATCACGAGTTCTTGCCTGCAAGTATCTTTCCGTCGCGTTTCTTCCTGACCCTATTGAACGTTTCTTTGGTTTTGCGGTGCCATGGGCGTAGAGATGCTGTAGCGTCAAATGGAGGTCGTCAAGGTTGCCAGGGCGCCTCTAGTGGCATGCCTTACATGCCCTCTTTGCAGCAGCCTCTTGGACGAGGCGACCACCATCTGCGAGTGCCTCCATTCTTGTAAGTTCTTCTTTCTCTCACTCCAGATCTTTTCTTCTTTAACAAGCATCAAAGATTCTTGACGACCTCTACGAGCTCTCTAAACTTGTGGGTGATGTTACGCAGTTTGCAGGGAGTGTATACATCTCAAGCTCAGCGAGGATGATACACAGTCGTGCCCGATCTGTGATGTCTACCTCGGTGTCGCGCCTCTCGAGAAACTCAGGTTTGCTTTGAGAATATTGGTTTCAAAGTTCCTTGAGATCGAGTGGATTTGGAGGCCGTGTTGAGTTTTTTTTGGTGTTTAGACTGGACCGCGAAACAAAGCATGTTGTCTCGTGATCTTCATGGGTTTCTTAAGACTGTTTTGATGTACTTACCTTTTACTGTTTCGTTTTCACCACGCAGGCCTGACCCTCAACTCGATGAGCTTCGTAACAAGCTATTCTCTCCGGGAGCTCCAAGAGTACGAGTTCCAGGCGATGCAAGTCCGCTACCACGTCTCAAACGAAAAGAGCGGTCCTTATCTTCTCTTGGTGTATTCTCGGCACCATCGTCATCCAGGCGGAGAAAGCCGAGCCGGCCGCAGCAGCAGCATTACACGAGAGTTAAGCGAGAAATAACAAGCTCGAGCGAAGAGGACGAAGAACACAAATCCGAGAGCAGTGATTCAGGTAAGTTGCTTTTATCACTTTCGTTTTCCATGCATGCTAAGTTTTAATCTTAGAAGTTGCTTGATTGCACAGTAGTCCTTCGGTTTCTTAGTTTCGTGCATTTGCCTGGTAACTCGAGATAAGTTTTCACTCTGCACTCATTGGGAAGGCCTGACTGGTAAACTATGGATAAGTATGTTGGTCATTTCGCTTTGTCTCCTGACATCACATTTATAATGATCTTGCAAACTCTGACGTGATCTTACTTCGTTTTTCTTTGATTTTCCTCCAGGTAACCACGCGAAGAAACCAACTCGCGAAGATAAAGGCAAGTCCGTGGCAGCAGGCTATCACTCTCCGCTCGCATACTTGGCCGAGCTGGCGGACTCGGACCACGCCGGAGGATCGTCCAGGCAGCAAAACCAGCCATCCACCTCGGTGGGCCGAGATATCAAAAGGCAGGCAACCACCGGACGCTTCTCCAAGCTCTCCCGGCCGACGAAAGGCGTACCTCGACGTCGCGGTGGAACCAGCGCCAACAATGGCGGAGAACTTTACAAGGCTACTCTTCCTCCTCGCTTCCAGGTCGTCACAGCGGACAATGGAGTGTGGTTTGCTCTCAAGCCCGCGGCCAACCAGTTAAGTCGTTTTCCCTTAGAAACTTCTCTGGCTTCGCTAGCTTTTGTGTCAGTCTAGGCCATCTTTCTCTCGATCTCTCTCTGTTTTATTTTTTCTCTTTGGCGTCTGACTTGTCGGATCCACAGGAGCGACGACTCGGTGCTTCCCGCGATCACAACACCCTACGTGAGAATAACGTAAGACGACTTGTGTTTTTTTCAGCTCCACTGACTTCTCTAAAACGCGCAGAGACGGACGACTTCCCGTATCGCTGGTCAAGAAGTACATTGCGACGAAGCTCAACCTCGGCAACGAAACCGACGTAAGCCCCCTTGCTCCTCCCGATTTGTCGCAAAAACCAGCGCAAACTTTCTTCCATCCTTTCTCGTGTTTTACTTTCTCTTTCTTGACACTTTCTCCAGGTTGAACTGAATTGCCGGGGCCAACCCATCGTCTCCAGCCTGCCAGTCGAGAACGTCCAGCGCATTTGGCTTGCAAAGCCTCGGGACGATCAAACTCCATCCAAGCTCGACACATCTTTGGAGCTCCTCATGACTTTAACGTACAAAAGACCCGGAGGAAACCCCACGAACGCCACCGCGGCCGCGACTTAAGCGCCCTTCTTCCTCTGTGCTTCGGTCCTTGCCATGTTTAATCGTGAGGAACTGGTCGTCCACTGCTCTTCTATATAACTCTCTCTACTTTGTTACCAGCAAAGCAACGCGGTTTAGCTGCCTTCCATGCTCTTGCGAAAGAAAGATAAAACAGACTTCCAAAAGCGACCTTTTAAGAACTTGCTTGACTTTGCCACAGTGATAGGAATCTCTTATACTCTTCCAGACGTAGAGCGCAATAGGGGAGATTGACTTTGGACAGATTGCTAGTATCTCTCGGAGGGTCCCAATCAATCTCTGGGAGAGACGTCCATATTTTATTTTTGGTTCTCTGGTAGCTCGGTCTTTCTTCCTAGAGATAAAACTGGCGGTCTTTGTGTGTATGTGTTTGTCTCTAGTACTTGCCTTGGGCTCCAAGGCATCCACCACCCAACACGAAATTCCATGCCAAGGAGCGCTTTTTCGCCGCTAAAAAGACGAGGAAGTTTAGTCTCTACAAACTCTAGAGTCCCAAGAACACAAGATCCAAAACTTTGTTTTCCTTCGAGTTGGATTAGATGAGAATTTGCAAAAGAATCTCTCACAAAATGAGTCATTTTGTACATTTCTCGCGAGACTTTGTCCGCTTGTTTCTTTTTCTTTCTTCTCGGACAATCTGTACAGCGCGAGGAAGACGAGCGTAGAGTCATCTCTGGTGCATGCTTGCTTGCTTGCTCCACTTTGTTGCCTTCCTCCAGCTTGCCTCTACACGAAAGGAGTGTAGATTGTGGGATCAAAAAATGTAGCGGAAGTCTCGTTGTCAGCGTCGGCATTCAGAACGAGTGCCTGATATTGTTCCTGGGCGTCTTGCATTTCATGCCCGTGGCTGCTCTGCCGCCGCTTGAGAGATCTCTGTCGACCTTTGGATTCGTCGTGAGAACCGGCGAGGATCTGCAACCAGAGCAAGACTTTGTTAATTGTCAAAGGCCACGACTCGGAGATACGAAAGCCAATTTGAAGGATAGAATCATACGCACCATTGTAGTGACGTCCACACCAGTGGAGGACAACAAGTCGACAAAGTTTTTAAAATTCATCTCGCTCGGCCGGTAATGACCGCTGTGTGCTTCAAGACACTACAGAAGCAGCAAGAAATGTTATGGTCAGTCCAAAAGAAGGCGACCTTGTGCACAAGTTTACCTTCAAATCCCCATCCTTCACAGTCAAACGACCAGCAGCTAATGCAGGGCCTCCCGCTAGAAAACTGGAGTGCTGAAATCTACCTTTCTCCTTCTGGAAAAGGAAGAAAGACACAAAAGTTTAAGCTTGGTAGACTGGAATTGGCGAAGTTTTTGTAAGTACCTTTCCCACATACAGCTTCCTTTTTGTGCTCAAGACGAAGATCATCTGGTCGCCATCCAAGTTTTTCTTGGTCTGCCTGTAGCAAAACTTCCCGTCGACGAACACAACTTCGTATGGCTTTCGCTCCTTCTGCACAAATGGACCAGTTCAAACCCATACGAAAGCAATAAAAAATAACGAAAAGACAGAGAGAGAGAGAGAGGAAAAGAGTTCCAATCTTACAGGTCCTAGATAGATAATTTTCTCCTCCATGAGTTTGGACCTGCGACATTTGTCCGGCAGATCCACGTCTCTCCCTTCTCCGTAATCCAGCCAGTAAAAGAATGGCTCCTTTGTGTCACTCTTCTCCCAGAACTTGAAATAAACGTGCAAGTTGTGGCCGTAACGATGTGTTGCATCGATCTGCATTGCGCAAACGCAACTTTAGCACCAAAAAACATTCTCTTTCGAGCCTCCGGTGCTTACAGCTTCGAGCCAGTGTTGGATTGCAAGGTTGGTTGCATTGTCATCGTCCTCGGAACGACCTCGCGTAATCTAAAACCAAGGAACCTTCCAGTCAAAACGAGAACTTTTCTTGCTACTTGATAAGAAGGCTCCAAATTCTCACCTTGCCGACTTTCTTCTTTAGCTGCGCCCACCTAGCGGAGACACTCTTTTGCTTCTCGTTGGAGCTGAATTCCATAAGATCTGCTCCTTCTAAGACTTTCCACCTGGATCCATTCGAAGCAAACGCATTGCCGTTAGTTACATAGAGAATTTTTCCAAGGCGAGCAACTTTAGAGAAGGGAAGGGGGTGAAGAATCAAAGTAAAACTCAAGAGGGAATTGCTTACCATTCTGCCGTGAGCGTCTCGGCTGGGCAAGGCGAGGGGTTGAAATCAGTGAGAAAGCTCGTCCTGACAGTGCTGGAAACCGATAGCGCTTCCACAGGAGCTCGTGTCATGTCCACCTTAATTTGATACATGAGCGCGCGAGTGAGACAATTGATAGAAAGTGGAGAGAATAAGATCTTCGGAGTTACCAGAAGCAAGCAGCAGAGACGCGGAATCCACAATGACTGCGGATTTGTGTAGTTTGAAACGACCCAACTCGCGACTCAATCGAAGGGGAGAGTGAGAGCGCCCGATCGAGAACGAGGGTGCACGCAGCAGAGAGGCAAAATCGCGAAGAAAGAATGCGGGGAAAGAATGCGCTGCCAGGCAGCATTTAAAGGCCGCGACCAAAGGGGGCATACGGTCAGCGCCCACACAGCGATGTCGCGCGGCCACACCAGGCGACGGTGGAGATGGACCCCCTGCGATGGTACATACACCATAGCCATTCGCCCCCTTCTTCGCCCCAGCTACGCGACCTAGCAACACCAAGCTTCCCCAAATTTCCGTGCCCTGGTCAGCCGCCACGTGGGCCACCCTGGCCACTCCGTACAGTCGCGGCGGGCGGGAGATTACCCGGGGGATATGCCACCCTTTTAAAACTTTGAAAGTTTCTCGTTTCCACGTGTCGGCTTGGCGGGAGGGGTATAGTAGGGCTCTAAGCGCGTCTGGCAGAGATGATCACGGACAAAAAAGTAGAGATCTCCGCAAAAGAAAGGAGAGAAAGAGAAATTATCCGCTTTGCGGCGCGGCGCTTGATATACCACAACCAGGCATTTTGTACTTACGACTTTAATGCGACTTCATATACGAATGTACCCGTAGAGTACGAGCAGAGCACCGTATGATTCTCACGCCCTGGCGGTGGTGGTAGCTACAAGACAATGATGGGCATTTCCCATCGAGCTGGCTGCCAGCCTTTTAGGTTACCCTGCCCTGACAAACGCAAGGCATAGTCAACATGCTGTGTAAATCTTTCCGCATGGGTGGCGAGCTGGTCTGGTGATGAGCCCCGAAAAGCCACTGCAGGAGATTTAGGGTTTGGGAGGAACCACCGGCGAGCAAATATTTTAGCAGACAAGCCTGGAAAGATCCCGCGCTTTTGTCTAGTAAACTAGTGGGCTTTGGTGTTGAATAGCTTTAAGACACTGTTTGCGCTCTCGGGAATCCTGGGTCGGGGCGCTTTTGTCTCGCAAAGAAGCGGAAAGCGCGATGATGATGATGAAGAAAATGTTTGCCACCTTTTCGCCAGTATTTTAATTGATTTGTTTTACTCCGGGGGTTGACATGCAGGTTTATCACATACGCGTGTGACACGACACCGTTTCTTTTCTGGCGGGTACAACAAGCCATGCAATGTAGCAGCAGCGGGCAGTGCAAGGTCAACCACAGACGCCAACCCGAAATGGGCTGGCGGTCCGGTTGGCCATCTCTCAAAAATCAAAATCCCTCCCACCCATCAACTCCATCAACTCCATCAACTCAGCTCCTTGCTGCACGTATTTCTTTCTTTTTATCTTCGTCAGGTGCTGCACTGCGAGATGATGGATCGAGATGTGCATGCATGAATCTTGAATTCAATGCGGTGGTGATGGCGGAGGTGGGTAATGCGTCGCGGGCTGGACGACTGATTTGTTTGTTGCTTCGATTGATTCCCATCCTACCCGAGGACCTCAGCCAGCAATGAATTCTTTTTATTTGCCACAAACGCGTAAACGTTGACAAATCTATTCCGTGCGTGCGTGTGCGGCGACGTCAAACCGGCGGGCGCACCCCGCCCTAATCCTCTCTGGATTTCAATTGATTGTGAAGGGAGGATGCCATGACCGACGACTTGACAAAGAAAGGAGAAACTACTAATTTGGATGGAATGCTCGTTAGCTAGGCGCAAAAGACACACACAAGCTTTTCTTTGAACCTTTGCCGCGGCTCATCCTTTTTGAAAGCGAATTCGCTTCCGGAGGTCATTAATTTCGCCACATCACCGCGTTTCCAGGGATTACGCGCTCTCTGTTTTAGGGCCTCCTCATTTGACCTAATTCGTTAGGGCGGAGGGACGAAGAAGAAGAAGATGAAGTGGATCGGGAGGCTGGGGAGGACATTTGGGGCGCCCTTCTTGCTCCTGGTGACTTCGATCTACTGGACGCAGGTTTGGATCGCTGTTGCGAGCTTAGGAACTTCGTTTTTCTTAGAGATTTCTGCCACAGGGCTTTAGATCGCTGGCATGGATGGGAGTCTCTTATCAGATGAAGGATCAGCTCAAGCTCAGCCCTTCTGCGTCGCAGTTTGTCATGTCCACCTCGTTTCTTCCGTGGAGCATCAAGCCTCTGTATGGGTAAGAAAATGAGAAATAGTCAATAAAGAAATGCTAATCTCTCGCTTTGCTCTGCTCTGCTTTGTGCCAGGATTTTTTCCGATTGCGTTCCCATCTTTGGTCGACGACGCATTCCATACCTGGTCATCTCCAGCGTCCTGTGCTTCGTTCCATGGCTTGTCCTCGGCGCCGTGGAGTGGTCCAGGTCCTCTTACATTTACTTGACCGTTCTCCTGACGATCCAGAATTTTGGAGCAGCTATGGCGGACGTGGTGGTGGATGCCATGGTTGCGGAGATGGCCAGGAAAGAAAGGTCTTCTCTCGTTCATAGTAAAAAAACTAATTTTTTTTATCTTTCTTGTTCTTTCTCTTTGGCTTACTGTGGAACTTGTGTGTTGCTCAGGGCTGAGTTCGCAGGAGAGCTCCAGTCCATGTCGTGGCTAGCGATGGCTTTCGGTGGGATTTTGGGGAGTATTGCCGGCGGGGTGGCGTTGGACAGACTTCAAGTAAGTGGGATCTTCATGATGTTTGCGACGTTCCCGCTCGTCCAGCTTCTCTCCTGCGCGTTTCTGGACGACAGGAAGCTGGGAAATAGTGTTGGAGAGATAGCAATAGTCGAGAGCCCCGAGGAAAAGCTCGAGGCCATCGATGGAAAAACAGAAAGTGGAGAAGGACAGGGGATCCAGGACACAAAAAGCAGTTCGCCAAACGATGTGAACGAAGCATTAGATGATCCAGAATCCAAAAGTCTTCGCAGAAGAAGAGGGAGCTTAGACAGGAAAGAAGTTGAAACTGAGGAGGAAATGCGCGAGGAGCAGAAGGAGACAAGTCCTACAATAGGAGGCGCTTGTCGCTCTTTGTATCAAGCAGTGAAGCAGCCTTCGGTTTTCCGGTAAGTCTTCCACTTCTATCATACACTTTCCGTTGATCAACCTTTTACAGGCCAATGCTGTGGTTTTTGATATCGCAGTCAGCGGTTCCAAATTTGTCAACGATTATGTTCTACTTCCAGACCAATTCTGTGAAGCTGGACGCGTCTTTTTTGGGAACCAGCCGTGTAGTTGGCTGGGGAGGACTCATGCTAGGCACTTTTCTTTACAACCATTACTTAAAGAGAGTATCACTCAGGAAAATTTTCAGGTAATGCTACGTGATAATCTTCTTTCGCTTATAGTTTTTTCTTCAGGCTGGTTCATATTGGTCTTGCCATTCTTACGTTGAGCGATGTGGTTTTTGTATCTCGCCTCAACACACGCATGGGAATTCCCGACAAAGTTTTCGTTCTGGGTGCATCCGCTGTTGGAGATGCTGTCAATCAGTTCAAGTGAGCTCTTACTTCCTTTTCTACTGCTTCCAGAACTCACTTTGGACTAAACACAACAGGTTTATGCCGTTTCTGGTGTTCTCCGGTCAGATATGTCCTCCCGGAATCGAGGGAACTTTGTTTGCACTGTTCATGTCAATCAGTAACTTGGGAGGTACCATAAGTTCTTTTGCAGGTGCAGCTTTGGCGTCTGCATTGCAAATCTCGTTGCAAGAATTTGGCAATTTGTCCCTTGGGATTGTTATTCAGGCTGCATGCACACTTCTTCCCGTTTTACTCTTGGGTTTAATACCTGAAGAGGCAACAGGAATGGCCCTTACACACAATTCTTAAAAGAGAATATGTAAACTAATACAAATAAAAGCATGAATATTGTCAGCATTGGATATCATTCACCTTTATATGTTAAAAATGATCAACATACAAATAATTTGCTATGCATTGCATGTAGCAATTGTGTATTCCTATTGATCAAATAAAAGTTTATAATTATAAATAAATTTAGATATACAATATTAATCTCATTGTGTTTAAGCAAGTTTAAAAATTATAAATACAAAATTAATTTAAATGAATAACGACCGTTAAATGGTAAAATATCCTAAAATATTTAAATATATTTTAGGTATATCCACTCAGGTTTGCTTAAGCAAAGCAAAAATAAATTAATAAATTAATAGAACAAAAAAATGTCAGATTGAAAACCTTAAACAGTAGAACAATAATTATTAAGCTACTACCAAAATTTATACTATCATTAGTCTAAGATTAATTTTGGAATGACAATAAAACTGTAAAATTTTAACTTAAATATGTGAGTGAGCAATATATATGTTTTACATTCTTATAAGGTCTTCGAGATGGCTACAGTGACCTCTTGCGGTGGTTTTTCAGCTTGCAATCGCACAACAACACCTTTCGTTGTGTAATAATCAATCACCTGGGATGCCAAAGTTAGCAGAAGAACAAAACAAAAAAGATCCTCTTTACAGGCTTGGTTTGCTTGTGAAACCCGTCCAGCCTGCTCTTCAAAACCTCAGCCGTGTCATCCTTCCTTTGAATCAAAGGCTCACCCGTTACCTGCGGAAAGAAACTCGTTCATCCTGTCTAAAAACAAAACCATCTGGTTCTCACATCATCCCGACCAGGAACCTTTGGTGGTGCGAACTTGGTATGGTAAGATCGCCCACTCGGCGGATGAACCCAGCGGCCAGTGATTCTCTCCTCGAGAACACTGTCAGGTATCTCAAAGTTCAGGACTTTATCCACTTTGACGCCTTGCTTGGACAGCATTGCGTCCAACTGCAAACAACACAGAAACAAAAAGCATCATTCCAAGCAGTGGCAACAGACTTAAGAAAAAAGGATAGAAAAGCTGTGTGCTACACTTAGACACCTGCCAAGCAATCAAATGCTGAGCAAGCAACACGGAAGCACTTCTCTCTAGCACAAGCATAGGGCAATATTCGTCATGAGGATCTCAGACAAGCCCGGGGTAGGCTATGTGCATACTTACAGGATAAAAAGAAAGAAAGAGGAAAAGTACCTTCTCAGCTTGAGCTACAGTCCGCGGAAAACCATCCAGTATGAAGCCTTTCTTGCACGAAGGCTTTTGTATAGCCTCGTCAATGATACCAATCACGAGATCATCCGAGACAAGTTGACCCTGGAAGAAAGAAAAAACCGTCGATCAGAGGATGAACAAGAGAAAGCTCGAAGAAGAAAGATTTACCATCCTTTAGTTCACAAAGAGTGGCGGCCATTTAACCTTTTCCATTGTCTGCTTGGCCATCAAGCCCAAGGGCGTCTGTGCAGCCACGGCGGCCCGGAGCATATCGCCAGTGGCCAGGTGACACAAGCAATGCTGCTCCTTGAGGATGGGAGATTGTGTGCCCTTGCCACATCCCGGCGGCCCTGAGAAAGCAAGAGCTCACTGCGAGGATTTCTCCAAGGAACATGAAAGAGAAGGGAGATTACCAACAAGAATGAGGCGCTTCTGCGATTTAGGCATGCATTTGAGGCGGCGGAGGAGCTCCGAGAAGAGATCGGTGGCCGCGACATCGCTCAGATCTGCCATAGCGGCCGCCGCGCCCTAGACCATCTCAAACCTAAAAGAGGTTTAACCTAGAAATTTGTAAATGGGGGGAGAGGAGGGCGCGTCTCGGATCGTTGTGAGTGATTTTGTGGCGCCTTTGCTGGAAATTTTGCGCGATTGATCTTGTTAGCTGCCAGGCGATGTGGTGTTTGATCTCGCAGCTCAGGCGCAAAACAAGGTGCTGCGATTGGGAAGCGGCCTTTCTCAGGTTTTTCTTTCTTTTATCTCTCTTTGTTCTTGTTTGAAAGAGCGAGCATTTCTTGTCTAGGATGCTGATCGCGTTGTAGCTATCAAGGCCGGGAGATTGAATCACGCAAAATCCAAACTTTGGGTGGAGGGATCACAGAAGCGAGTAAATTTCTCTCTTTTTGCATTTTTTGTTTGAGCAAAGCTTGATGTTTATCTTTTTCTTTCTCTTGGTTTGTATAGTACATTCCCAGTGCCGAGGATTCTGTGATTGGAATTGTTATCGATCGTCGCGCCGAGGTTTGATGATTGCTCAAGTGATTGCTCAAGTGATTTTCATTCGTCACACACAGGAGTTTTTGGTGGATTTGAATGCTCCAGTTCTTGGGCTTCTTCCTATACTCTCTTTCGAGGGTGCTACGCGGAAGAACATTCCAAACCTCAAGGCAAGTTTTTTGGATTTGTGGTGTGGTGACGAGAACTCTATACTCACAGGAAGGGGCTGTGGTCTATGGAAGAGTGGTGAAAGCCCATCGCGATATCAGTCCCGCGCTCTCGTGTTTGGATGGTATGCTTCTTCCAGCATTGGTCTTTTAGTAAACATACTTGATCTTTTGTAGCTTCTGGAAAAGGCTCTGGTTACGGCCCACTGAAAGAAGGATACCTGTTTGAGTGCTCGACCGGACTCGCAAGATCGTAAGTTTTTCCTCGATAGTTTTCAGGCGATCCTGATTCTCTCTCTTTCAGGCTCTTGGGTACGCCGACTTATCCGGTGCTCGAAGCTCTTGGCAAAAGCCTGGCTTTTGAGATCGCCGTTGGTGTAAATGGTCGCGTTTGGGTACGTCGGGAACTTGTCTGTCTTGGATTCGTGAGCGAGTGTGAGATTTTGTAGGTGAAATCCGATGCTCCAGCCACCACCGTGCTCGTCTCCAATGCGATCATCAACTCCGAGTGCTTGAGCGCAGCGCAGCAACACATACTTGTTCAGAAGCTTTTGCAAGCAGCGAAGTGATCTCTAAACTCCTGGGCTTAATTTTTTTTTTGTCTAATCGATTCCAGGAGATTTCTATCGTAGTATGCAAGTCTACGTCGCGTCAATGATGTTGTTCTTGGGCGTTTCGTCTCACATTAGCAACCAGCGATAGCTTGTGACCGCCGGGGTCAAATCAATCTACACCGTCCTTTTGTCACGTTTTATGCGTCAGTTACAAGAGATTCGGACACAAAGGAGCCCTAACAGGATATTCGTATCTTGAGTGACGTAAGGGAGAAAAGGAAAAGAAAGGGAACAAAGAGAAATGCGAGAGCAAGATAGGGTTTTTGATCGTCCCGTGCTAGATGCCGCGACGCCACTGGTGCTGTAGCAATCCGTGACGATGAAGATAACGATGGAGCAGGGGGAATGTGGCGGAGATTCCAGCGCACTGGCGATTCATAAGCTGCGCGGCATTGAATCGGCGAATTTCTTCGCGCTCCAGGCGAGGCGCGCGGATGCGGTGGGAAATGTGGCGCTGCTGGCGGCATTTCTCTCCGTGTGAGGAAATATTTCGGGCGATGGGAGCAGTGGTATTCAGGTTAGCTCTCTTGCTGGTTGTGGTGCTCGGGAGCTTGTCCGATCTCGCCGAATGGCCAGCGTCGGTGAAGATTGGCACACTTCTGGCTCTCAATTCCACCGCCGGGCACACAGGCATGGTGGCTATACAAATGGCTGTGGAGGATATCAACATCAGGAATTCGAGCTTCCTCAATGGGACGAAGCTCGAGATCATTACTGCGAATTCGAATTGCAGCGCATTCCAGGGCGCTGCCTCAGGTAGGAATTTCCTTTATCGATTTGTCGTGCTTGTTCTGTAGCACTAATTAATCGTGTGTCTGTGATCCTTCCTGTTTTTTCCAGCGATGCGATTGTTCGAGCAAAACGTGGTTGCGATTGCTGGGCCTCAGGCGTCAGTGGTGGCCCATTTCGTCGCACACATGGCAGCAGCGACGCAGGTCCCGTTAGTGTCAGCGTCTGCCACCGATCCAACCTTGTCCGAGTATCAGTTTCCATTTTTCCTCCGGCTCGCGCGCAGTGATCGTATGCAAATGGAAGCAGTGGCTGGAATCATCAGCGTCTACGGGTGGCGAGAAGTTGTGGCCATTTACAGCGACGACGACTATGGGACAAATGGTATTGACACGCTGGGTGACGCTCTTGTTGGTTTCGGGGCCAGCATCGTCTTCAAGGCCGCCCTGGATCCAGCCATAGACAGGACAGGGATTAGCAAGATTCTCGCGGGAGTGGCTCAGATGGGTACCAGGATATTTGTAGTTCATCTGCAGCCTGCCATGGGGTTGACGCTGTTTAGCGAGGCCTACTTGCTGAGGATGCTGGATAAAGGCTACGTCTGGATTGCTACCGAAGCGATCATATCGACTTTGGACACAATCTACCTCGATAGCAATTATGTTCAAGCAACGCAAGGGGTGATTGGAACTCGTAGCTACGTTCCAAAGTCTCCTCAGCTTGAGGCGTTTGCAACCAGGTGGAAAAAGATAGCGGAGGAGGAAGGCAGTGGTCTCATTTATTCGCAGTACAATGCGTATGATCTGTATGCTTATGACAGCATCTGGATGATCGCATATGCGGTGAGAAAGTTTCTCCTCAACCGGGGGAACTTTAGCTTTGTGTCGCCGACAGGTTTCCAGGCAAATTCAGGTGGAGGCTCGGACTTGGCAAAGCTCAAGATTCTGCTGGAGGGGCAGGCCTTGTTGGAAGACTTCTTGGAGACAAGTTTTGAAGGGGTGTCGGGATTAGTGCAGCTTGATAAAAGAGGCGATCCTTCGGACTCGGCTTTTCAAATCGTCAATATGGTGGGAAAAGGATTGAGAACAGTGGGGTACTGGACGAATGCTACAGGCTGTTCGACTGTTGAACCAGGCACCAACGGGAGCATTAAAAGCGATGAACAGAAACTTGAGGACGTCATATGGCCTGGTGGTGCGGTGCGTGTTCCTCGGGGCTGGATGGTTCCAAAGAATGGACGGCCTCTGGTGATCGGGGTCCCGAACAAGCAAGGATACAAGGAATTTGTAGATACAGCACTTGGACCCGACAATGCGACAGTCTTTCATGGTTTCTGCATCGATGTTTTTCAGGCAGCGCTCTCGTATCTTCCTTACACTGTTCCTTATTCGTTTCAGCTGTATGGAAACGGGACATCGACACCGAGCTACGACGAGCTCGTTCAGAAAGTTGTCAACAAGGTGCTTTATTTTTTTATCTCGCAAGTCTACTCACAAATCGAAAGGTGCAGGAATATGACGCAGTTGTGGGAGATATAACGATTACAACCAAGCGTGCAAAGATTGTAGACTTTACACAACCATATACTACCTCGGGCCTGGTTGTCGTCGTTCCTCTCAAGAAAGGGGCCACAAACCATGCTTGGGCTTTTATGCGACCGTTTACTCCAGCGATGTGGTTTACAACAGGTGCATTTTTCTTGTTCACTGGGGTTGTTATGTGGCTGTTGGAACACAAGAAAAACCGTGACTTCCGTGGTCGACCGAAGAAACAAGTTGTAACAACACTCTGGTAACGTTTTTTCAAGCTTGTTTGTTCTGTCGTAGCTATAACTCAGTTGTTTTTACTGCGCAGGTTTAGCTTTTCCACGTTGTTTTTCGCTCAAAGTAAGTCAGTTTTCGTGCTTTATATCTCATGTAGGATCTTGAAACAGCAGGCTTGCATTTTTGTAGGAGAGGATGTAAAGAGCACCCTTGGACGGGCCGTGCTTATTATCTGGTTGTTTGTTGTTCTCATTATCAACTCGAGCTACACTGCCAGTCTCACATCCATTCTTACAGTTCAGCAACTGATGCCGACAATTCAAAACATAGCCGGCTTGGTGGCGAGTAATGTACCTATAGGATACCAAGCAGGATCATTCGTCGAAGAGTATTTGCTGCAACTCAACGTCCCGAGGGACAGGCTAGTCCCTCTCGATTCTTTATCAGCGTACACCGCAGCTCTCCAGAAAGGTCCAAAGTCAGGTGGCGTGGGAGCTATAGTGGACGAACTGCCTTACGTGCAGCTTTTTTTGTCGTCAGAGTGCGATTTCACAATTGCCGGGCAGCAGTTTACGAAGAGCGGCTGGGGATTTGTAAGTGTTTTTGGTAAAGCTTTTCGGTTTCATCATTGACTGGATTTTCCTTCAGGCATTCCAAAAAGGATCGCAGCTGGCCATCGACATGTCAACCGCGATACTCACACTCGCCGAAAACGGCGAGCTGCAACGCATCCACGATACCTGGCTCAACGGATACGACTGCGGCTCACAGAAGGTGCAAATCGACTCCAACGAGCTGGGACTGGGGACGTTTTGGGGGCTCTTCCTGATAACAGGCACGGCTTCCATCATCTGCCTGTTCGTTTACTACACCAAGATGCTGCTACGCTACCGCAGAATTCTCAAGGCCCAGAAAGAGGAGTGCTCGTCGCCAGACAACAGCATACAGGATAACTCCCGGCGCTCCTCGAGCTTCCTCAGGTCCTTCGTCACTTACGTGGAGGAGTCCGAGGTTCCAAAGAAGCATCGAAACTCTTCGCTCAAGAAGAAAGAGGGAGGAGGCACGGGAAGCTCGAGACGAGAGGAGGACAGGAGCCCGGATAACAATGGCGGCTGTAGCTCCTCTGAGGCAACGTAGAGATTATTTATATGAGCTCCTGGGACGAGATCTTCGCCGCTTAAACTGTATACTCGATTGGTAAGCTGTCGATTTTGGCATCTTTGTTTTAATCTTCTTTCTTTCCAGGCTTGACGATTATATGAGAAATGAAATTCTCATTCATAAATATAATGACCGGACCACTACACGACTTTTTTGCTGATATATCTCAAAATGCGAATATGCGATCCTCCTTTTTTTTTTATGGAGCATATCCTTTCCTTTATATTTTTTGTTAACCTAGGGGAGATTAAATTTCACGTGACGTTGTTTGCTTGTGGGAGCCAAGCAGATCGCTCGATGGCGCCCGCCAGCGCCCACGTGATCCAAAAGAAGGTGATCATCGACACAGATCCGGGCATAGGTAGGCGTAGTTCTTGCTGCCGGGGCTTTTCTCTTTGGATTTGCATTGCTTGGGGGTCGATTCTCCCTCTTTTCTTCTTGATCCTTTCTAATCGATTCTTCCTTTGCTTCTTGCAGACGATGCAATGGCAATTTTGCTGGCCTTTCAGTCGCCAGAGCTCGATGTCATTGGCCTCACGACGACGTTTGGGAATGTATCAACGTCAATGGCAACTCAAAACGCTTTGCATCTGGTAAAAAAATTCTTCCTTTTCGTTTTCCTTTTCTGCCTCGCAAAGGTTTCGGGAGCTGAGGTTCTTGTTCTAGTGCGAACTTGCAGGTAGGGAGGACATTCCTGTTGCTCAAGGGCTACACAAATCTCTCAAGGTTCGTTTTTTCTTTTGTGTGTGTGTTTTTAAGTTTCGGGCTCCATCTGGTTTTTTTTTCCTTTAATTTGACAGGGTGATACGAAAGAGCACGCTGTTGATTTTATTCATGGAAAAGATGGATTGGGGAACACAAATCCCCCGGCTCCAAAGGGGAAACCAATTGATATGACTGCTCCCGAGTTTTTCATTTCTAAAGTGAAAGAGTTTCCTGGGGAAGTGACAATCATAGCTCTTGGCCCTCTGACAAATCTCGGCAAGGTACGAAGTTTTGGATTTTCGTTTGTGCTTTTGACACTACTTGTGTCCAAAACATAGGCTGTCGAGATGGATCCATCATTTGCTAAACTTGTAGGCGAGATCGTGATCCTTGGTGGTGCTTTTGCAGTGAACGGGAACGTTAACCCCGCTGCAGAGGCAAATGTAAGTTTTGCTGTCCCCGGTTTCCGGTTCTTGTTAAAAAAGTGATTTTGGATGAAGGTTTTAGGAGATCCATTGGCCGCGGATATAGTCCTTACATGCGGAGCCAACACGAAAATAATCGGCATCAACATAACGCATCAAGTCACAATGACAGGTACCTTGGTCTTTTATTCTCGTTTTTGTCTTTGCTCTAACTTCGCAAGTTCTAGGCCCACAAATAGAGGAGCTCAGGAGAAGCGACAGCAAGTATGGTCGATATCTATGCGATGTAATTATGTGCTACCTTAACTATCACAGGGATTACTACAACATTGACGGTGAGAAAAAAAGAAGAGAAGCTTTCTTTCTCTGTGCCGAGCTTTTGATGAGTTTTCTCTCTATTGGCAGCGATTTATCTTCACGATCCCGCAACAGTAATCGCGGCAATCGATCCATCGCTCTTTACTTACGCAGAAGGTGTCGTAAGAGTCCAGCAGGAGGGAATTTGCCGTGGGCTTACCTTGTTTAACAACACAAGGAAGAAGTAAGTTCTCGCCATTTTTTTTTCGTTCGTGTTCCTGGATGGAACTATAGAAAATTTCTTTCGTGATTTGTAGATGGGCAGTACCTACAGCGTGGTGTAACAAGCCGCCGGTGAAAGTAGCAGTGACTGTGGACGCCGATAAGCTCGTAGTTTTACTAAAGGAACGCCTCATGGCTTCGTGAATGGATATCTCTTTCCTTTGTGGATCGCGTTTCTCCACGTTCAAAAATGAGAATATTCTTCACTGGCTTGGGAATATCCGAGATTTATATTTTCCGTGCGTTTGGAGCTCCATACATGCGCAATGGCGATGGCGCCTTCCGTGGCGCTCACACCCTATCTCGCGCCATGGCCGCGGCTCCACTGCCGCGCGGGTGATTTTCTCCCAGCATTGGCGTTCGCACCGGCAATCCGCGGGCGGCGCGATGCATCGAGGCGATGGCGTGGAAGCAATGGAGGTAATCGATCGTGTTCTTGCGCTAGGGCGGTGGAGAAATCTCGGCAAGGCGCTGAAGAAGCGCCGCCAGTTCGTGGTGTGCTGTTCGATATGGATGGAGTGCTGTGCGATAGCGAGGAGAGATCGCGTGACGCAGCTGTGGATGTTTTCGCTGGAATGGGCGTGACTGTCAGGCCGGAGGATTTCATTCCATTCATGGGAACTGGTAAGTCTTCCCCCGGCTTGCTTTTGATCGAAAGAAATCTTTCTTGGTTTCCATCCTTTCCAGGCGAAGCAAACTTTTTGGGAGGTGTTGCTGGATTGTACCAGGTTCCAGGTTTTGATCCCATTCAAGCCAAAGAAAAGTTCTTTGAAGTCTACATCCAAAAGGTGAAAATCGTGCTCTACAGGAAAGCGAAAGTAACGAGTGAATTATTTTTACGACAGTACGCAAAGCCGGACTCTGGCTTGGGATATCCCGGAGCACTAGAGCTCATCATGGAAGTAAGCTCATGGATATTAAAAGTTTGTCTTCTAATCACCTCAACACTCAGTGCAAACGTGCTGGTCTCAAAGTCGCCGTTGCATCTAGCGCGGATCGAATCAAAGTTGACGCAAATCTTTCGGCAGCAGGCTTACCACAAACCAAGTATTTACTGTTTTTTTTTTAATGTGCTGGTGTTTTAGCAACGTGTTTTTCCTGGCAGTTTTGATGCCATTGTCTCAGCGGACGTTTTCGAGAGGCTAAAGCCTGCGCCAGACATTTTTCTGGCCGCAGCGAAAGCACTTGGCCTTCCTCCATCAGAGGTAAGGCATGATTAAATTCCGGGTACTTTTTTAACTCTGTGTCGTCCAGTGTGTTGTTGTAGAAGACGCACTTGCTGGCGTGCAAGCTGCTCGAGCAGCCGGAATGAGGTGCATTGCAGTATCTACAACGCTCTCCGAAGAAAGTTTGGCCAAGGCGAATCCAACACTTACCAGAATGAATATTGCCAATATCACACTTTCTGATATACTGAACTTACAAGACAAAGGTACGATGGCTTAGATCATTTTTTCTTTCCATTTTTTTTTTCTTGGTGAGCAAAGCTCTTGTTCTTGTTTTTCCTTCAATAAATTCAATGGCTCTTTTAAGAAAGTGTCCAGGATCTGCGTTGTTGATGCAGATGTTAAAGAAGCGGCGCCTGGTGTAACGGGCATGGACTGGATCTACTCTATTTTAGATACTGAAGTATCTCTTCCTTTCGGGTATTTCTCTCTTTGTTAAGATTTGGCAAAAAACGAAAAGAACTGTTGCTTTGCATGCTGTTTTGCAGCACTAGCATCACTAGGCGAGACATTATCAGGCTTGGAAGCTTTAGTCTAGGAACATCCTGTTTGGCTTTTGCTGCAACACGTTGGAAGGTATACACTCCATTTCTCGTTCTTTATACTAACTAAACTACCAACAGGCCATGACATATGGTTCTCCTATGGCACTTTTGAATGCTTTTCTGGGTGCTGATGATATACCACTCGCTATTGGCTCTGGTAAAGGTTGCTGCCAGTTTTATTTGGTAGTCTCCTGCTTATGGTTGTTTTTGTTGCACTAGAACTGGACTCTGGGAACCGTATCGACTCGTTCAAGAGCTACATATCGAATCTTGAAGCAAAGAAAGTGACGTGTTTACTTATGCTAGATGTCGTTTCGAAACAGTTTTGGTGCTTACAGAAGTGGCGGACAGAAAGTCATGGAATTTCCCCCAGGTCTTCAGTGGTTGAACACAGCAGCACCTCTTCGTTTTAAAGGGGTATGCATGACTGGATGTGTGTTTAAAATGGCTAAGCTTGTTAGTTTGACAGGCCCTGCACGGAAAGGTGGTTATTCTGGACTTCTGGACATACTGTTGTATTAACTGTATGCATGTACTCCCCGATCTGGCATACCTTGAACAAAAGTATAAAGATCAACCGGTGAGTACTTACGTTTTTTTTTCTTGTTATATGAAAATCCTTTGCAGCTCACAGTTGTTGGTGTACACTCTGCCAAATTCGACAATGAGAAAGACACAGAGGCGATTCGAAATGCAGTGCTTCGCTACAATGTGACGCATCCGGTAAGCCCATTCTATTCGGGATAGCGGAGTTGACTCACAAAGTCACAGGTAGTGAACGACGGTGATATGAATCTATGGCGCCAACTCGGAGTTAGCTCTTGGCCGACCTTCGTGGTTGTCAGTCCCAATGGGAAAGTGATAGCGAGGCTTGCTGGAGAAGGTCATCGAAAGGTATTATTTCGTCTTCGCTTTCCAAGATTTTCTTACGTCTGCCATAGGACTTGGACAATCTAGTGGATGCTGCACTGCAATATTATGGAGAGAAGAAACTTTTGAACGCTCAACCTATTCCATTACAGCTCGAGAAAAGCAAAAGTGCGCGAATTCTGACTACTCCATTGAGCTTTCCTGGAAAGCTGGCCACGGACCTGGCAAATAGTCGTCTTTTCATTTCTGATAGCAATCACAATCGGATAGTAAGTGCTCTTTATTTGTATCTACACGAATGACAATGTTTTTTTGAAGGTTGTCACCGATTTGAATGGAAATTATATTCTACAAGTTGGCTCTGGAGCAGAAGGCTTAACCGATGGATCATTCTCCTTAGCATCATTTAATCGACCACAGGTGCAGTAGTTTTAAGACTGTTGGATCTTTCTTATGACCGCTCTACAGGGTGTAGCGTATGATACTGAAAAGAACATCCTGTACGTGGCAGATACCGAAAATCATGCTCTCAGGTAATATAGTTTGATATCTGACTTCAGTAACATTTCTTATGCAATTACAGGGAAGTTGATTTTGTGAAAGAGACAGTAAGAACTTTGGCTGGTACTGGAGAAAGAGGCTTTGACTACAGGGGTGGAAAAGCAGGCCAGTCTCAGGTACATTCATACATCATATGGATTCAGTTACCATTTCTCTCTCTTTCATTTAGCCGCTCAATTCACCATGGGACCTTTGCTTGCATCCTGATGGGATGCTTTACATAGCAATGGCGGGGGAGCATCAAATATGGGAATTTAATAGGAGCAATGGTGTTGCGAAAGTGTTTAGCGGGGATGGATACGAGCGTAACCTCAATGGCTCAAAGTAAGTAGTTTTCAACATATTAGTATGATTTCTATATGATTTCTATGTGTCAGGGGGTCAAACTCGTCGTACGCGCAGCCGTCGGGACTGTCCTTATCTCCTGGTGGGTTGCTTTTCTCGCCCAGCAATCTCGTCTCAAGTTGTAACGTGGCTTCAGCTTTTCTGAGCTGGTTGGGGCAGATATGGACCACTTATATATTGCCGACAGCGAAAGTAGTTCTGTGAGATCCGTAAACTTGAAGACGGGAGGCTCGCAATGGCTTTCGGGAGGCGATCCCGCATTTCCAGAGAACTTGTTTCAGGTATGTTTTGTTTTATGCATCGCCAGAGCTGCATGGTTTCAGCTGTCGACGTTAGTTCGGAGATAAGGATGGCCCAGCGTCTCAAGCACTATTCCAACACCCTCTGGGGATACTCTCGAGCGCAAACGGTGCAGTTTACGTGGCGGATACTTACAATCACAAGGTCAGAGTCATTTCCAAAACGACCACGTTAACATGCTTTTGATATTGCAGATTAAACTGATGGATTTAGCCAGCAAAACAGTGCGTACAGTTGCAGGGACTGGTGTCGCGGGCTACGAAGATGGGAAAGGCGTAAAAGCTCAGGTACCCCAGCTACTGTTCCAATTCGCTGATAGTTATTTCCTTCTCCTTCTCAGTTTTCAGAGCCAGCCGGTCTCGCCTTGGGCCCCAATGGTAAGAACTTAATGCACGTTACATCCGCTTCGTACTCACAAAGTCTGCTTGAACAGGAAGCTTATTTGTAGCCGATACAAACAACAACGTGATTCGTCTACTCAAGCCCCGGCCGGACGACAACGCTATACAAGTTACTACGTTGGAGCTGAAAGGAGTCGAGCCTCCAAGACCATTGGAGAAGTCTCCTCGTCGGCTGAGAAGACGGCCTTCCTCTGATATGGAAGTCGTTCGCCTCCAGGCTGTTCCCGGTCTCAGAGGAGACTTGCAACTACAAATAGATTTGCCTCCTGGATATCACTTCAGCAAGGTTCGTGTTCCAAGCTAAAGCATTGTAATACTTATTATGTTTGTTACAAACAGGAAGCAACCAGCAAGTACGAAGTTGATGTGGAGCCTGATGACTCCGTGGACGTAAAGCCAGATAAAGGCACTCTTCAGGATGGTCGGGCGAGCTTAAGTTTCGAGAGAAGCAAACCGACGAGGTCCTTATTACGAATAATCTCCAAGGTTTGCTCTTTTCTATGGCAGCAATGCGGGCTTCCAAACTCACTTTTGCTCGTTCCTTCCCATAGGTGTACTATTGCGAAGAGGAGAAAGTTTGCCTGTACAAAGGGATTGTAGTGGAGGTTCCACTCGAGGAAAGCAACGGTGGCACCGAAGACTCGTCAAGCATACCAGTCAAGCTCACTGTTACTCCACCACAGCAGCAGCCTTGAAAGGAAAGAAGATTCTGGCGATTTATCTCATGTCAGGAATACAAAAAGGAGAGTATCTCCGCCTAGCCCATGGCCTGGAGTGCCTGCTGGAACATCGTCTCGGCCGCGACTTGACGCTGGATCGTCGGGTGATCCGGCTGCAATGACTTGAGTTGGCTACCAAACAACAAAACAAAACTTAGCAAAACGTTGGAGCAAACGGAGTGTCAAAGTTACCTCATATGGCGAGTGGTGGATTTTCCGAGATGGAGGCAGCAGACAATAAGGTTGGCGAGAGTGTCAGCGTCCTTGTTATCCTGGAGCAAAGGTGTTTGATCAATCGATAATAAAAACAAAGCTTTGAAAACTTTGTACCTTGAGGAGAGCGTCTAGAAGGAGCTGCTCGGCGTCATCAAACTGGCCCATATGCATGTGGCAAACGGCCCTTCCATTCATGAGCGGTACCGTCCACGAGTACTTCTCGGAGAGCTCCTGGAATATGTAAGAGGCTTCTTGAATCTTGGAGCCTCCCTGTCCAGGCCAAAAACACGATTGTTATAGAAACTATACGAAGATCTTGACAGGAGAAAACTCACGAGCGCTAGATTGACCCACGCATTGGCCAGCTGCGTGAGAGTGTGGTCCTCGTCGATTCGCTGCATGACTTTTAGCTGCTGCTCGGCTCGCTCGGTTCTATTCAGCTTTATGTACATGTGAATGTTTAGCGCGCATCTGGAAGAAAGGGTCTCTCGATCAGAAGAGAAGAAAATGAAAAGAGAAACAAAGCAAAGACAAAAGTTTTCTCCAACGAAAGAAGAGAAAAGTTTTCTCCAACGAAAGAAGAGAAAAAGAAAAAATATATATTTTACTTACAGCTCGAGCGTCTCTCCAGCATGAGTATACTTGAGCGCTTCATTGTAGTCTTGTTCGTGAGCATGGATGATGCCCGCTATGAGAAGCACGTCGTTGTTGGAAGCAACCAGTGGATCCGCTAACAAGTCCTTGAGAGACGATTTTGCCGACTCCTGGAACAACACTGCTACTTTGTTTCTTTCGAAATCCTTTGTTTACCTTTTCTCCCAGGAAGTATGTAGCAAGCAGCCTCACAGCTTCCAGGGCGCTGGTCGAGCTCTTGATCTCATCGATAACAATCTGCAATCCACTCGAATTGTGTGATCTTCTAGTGCGAGAAGAGAGAGATTCGTTACCTGGTAGAGCCCGCAGGAAATGTACGATCTGTAGACGAAGTAGTCGCGCTCGGCAGCCTCCTGATCGGACAATCCCTTGAGCTTGCCGGCGGCATTGATCGCCTCCTGGTACGCGCCCAGGAAGAAATTGTTCTTGACGAAGAAGAGCGCCATGGAGTGAGTAAGATCTAGGGTTCTTGCCAGATACGAGGTATATTCTTAAAGATTAGATTAGTATTTAAATGTGTGTTAATTAAGATTAAACGTTGCTACCAGTTAAGTGATGATAGGAAAGAGCGAATGTATTCGGCAGCGATCTCGGGTCGATCGTCGTGAGGGCAGTGACCGACGCCTTCGAGCGCGTAGAATTTCACGTCGTTTCTCTTCTTCTCCAAATCCACAAAGAACTTTGCCACCTGAATCGATCCAGAGAAAAAAACTATGAGGATTTTGGCGACCAAGAGCTCAAAACATATGACTTACGGGCCCGTTCGCTGGGGTCCAAGCATCTCGATCACCCCACAGGACAAGAACGGGGATCTCCACTTCGGACATAAGTTTCTCCGGCCTCGACCCTGGAACAAAAAAATCAAACAACTAAACCGAGATTTGTTTAGTTACCTGGATTGTTTCCAGTGAAGACTTTGACAAAGACGTCCACGGCCCCTTCGTCGGTTGACGGATGATAGAGAATATCGACCTGTAAAGCAAAAGCTTTGCGGAAGGAAGAGCAAACATGGATGGAAATACCAGCTGATCTGTGACAGATTCCTTGTTGCAATAGGCTTGCTGAGTGAGTATCTTTCTGATGTTGTCCTTGCTTCGAAATCTATAGGCGCTTGAGTATTGAAACTACATGTCCGAGAAAAGCACTGACCTGTTGAATAGAAGGTTTGCGAAGCGCGGCTGTGCGAGTATGTATTCAACACCTACGAACACGGGCGACAGCAGCTGCAATAAAAAACCATCTTGAGTTAAGCCTTTCCTGTTCATTGCCCCGGCACAATTCAGCAGCACCAGTCCACTACGACAACGAAAAGTCCATTCTTAAAAGCGACATTAGTGGGAATCGGCTTTCTTACCGAACAGTATTCTTTCCACCTTTAACGGCAGCTGTGAGTGCTGAGAGCGAGCCAATGGAGTTTCCAACCAGCACAGCTCCGTTTTCCGTGAACTCCTGCGCAAAGTCTATCCAAGACAATGTCGGGAGGCCTTAAGAAAACTGGAAGAAACTCACCGCAGACCAGTTCCGCCCACAAATCCGGGCTGTAGTCAGCCTGCTTTGGCTTTTCTGAGTCACCAAAGCCTAAGAGGTCGATCGCGTAGACTTTATTGTTTTCCGCTAGATACGATAGCAGATTTCCGAAGTGCCCGGCATTTCCACCTTTAGAGAAACGTAAAGACACAAGCAAATCAAACTTACAACACATTGATTCTGGCGCTTACCGAATCCATGAACCAGAATGATCGGATTTCCACACCCAGCCACTCCAAAGTTGATCTTGTAATCCCTTGATATGAAAAACTTTCGTCATACAGCGAACGAAAACACAAGGCTTGTTGCTTACCTCCATTTCCAGGAGTTGTTCTTATATGGCAAAACCAGCAACTTGGAGCTGTCAAGCGCTTGAATGGCGCTCGTAACACTCCTTAGTGTAGCATCGCTTTGAAGCTCAAGCTGGACTGTGACATAGCCTCCTCTTGGTCCTCCCTGGACCAGCTCTCCAATCCAGCAAACATCAATCACTCCAGCCACACCCTTGATGTCTTGCTTCAGTCTGAGAAAGAAGAACTCAAGTTAAGTTGAACACGAAGAAATATTTTACCTTTCCAACTCTTCCTCCAAAGTAACTCCATGAATCCTGTCCATAGTACCAAAAGTATAAGAAAATCGATGCTAGCAGTCGCAAGAAAAATCATACGTGATAGAAAATGTCCGCGGAAGCGCTGGAAATCCATCCACGGGTTGCAAGATCTGCGGATCAATCTTAATCTTCCCTGGCAACCGTTTTGATCGTGAAAACCGAAAAGAAAAAGAATTCACACAAAAAGAATCGAGAACCTGGCGCTGGTGCATCTCGCGCAATATCTCCAGCGCTCCTATCGATCGTAGCATTAGCAATCAAACGCAGCCTTCGCTGCCTCGTCTAGAATCCCGCTGGAATCAGGTCATCACAATCCTGCTGCTAAAACGACTGCGCAATCGATCACTTACCTGGATCCCGATCGCCCGGCAAGACGATCTCGCCGAGAATTCCCTCGCCGCGGCAGCGATCGCTCCAGCGCCAGCGCCATTGCGCAGGCAATCGGGCGCCAAGGCCATGGAAATATCCATGGCTTCCATTTTCTTGCGACGGCCACACGTCAGTGACGCGTCGCGCCCGTCATAGTAACCCTTATAACCTAATTTGGGGAACACTTAAAAATCTATTTTTCCTGCGCAGTGGCAAAACTTTCGATCGATCAGTGCGATCATCGACGAGGGCGAGGGATGAGAAAGAAGGCGCTGTGAGAGAGCTCGAAAGAGAATCCAAGGTAGGATGTGGCGCTGGAGAAGCGGGGGTGTTGCGCAGCCACGGCGCGGTCGTGAATGCTGTCTGGGAGCCTAGATCTTGCTCTCGTCGGCGCTCCGGGAGCTGGGAGAAGCATCCGCTACTGGAATTTAGCTCGAGGATCCCGGGGTTTAGGTTTTTCGACCCTAGGAGCTGCGATTATGGTGCCACTGGAGTCGGATTCCAATGGATGGGAATGAGCTGGGGTTTCATCCGCAGCTAAGAGCTGCAAGCAAGGAAGAGCTACTGGAAGAGGGCTAGAAGGGATTGTTTGCTAGAGTCTCCTCCACAGCGCACCAATGGGGTGTATCTGCGCAAAGTCGTCCTCCACCTCGAGATCGCAGGAGAGTCCCAAGGCCAAATCCTACTCGCGGCCACAGCTGCGGCATTTCAATGGATCTGCGAGGATCGAGACGCTCGAGGGGCTCAACGGGATCGTGGAAAAGGACAGGGAGAGATCCAAAGCCAGGACGAGACAAAATGGTCGCGAGGATAGCATGGACAAGCGCCGGGCGAGGCTCCATGCACAGGATCCAAATCCTCGTCAAAGCGTCATCCCCAAGCAGGCCGAGGGCGAGCAAGTTGCCGCGGGGTGGCCCGGTTGGCTCTCCGCCGTGGCTGGGGAGGCGATCAAAGGCTGGATTCCTCGACGCGCTGATTCTTTCGAAAAGCTTGACAAGGTACGAAGGCTCGCAAGTGGATTTGGTTTTCTTTGATATGGTTGCCTGAGGGAACGTTTCTTATCTTTGCAGATTGGACAAGGAACTTACAGTAACGTATACAAGGCTCGTGATCTCGACTCTGGAAAGGTCGTGGCACTCAAAAAGGTCCGCTTTGACAGCCTCGAGCCCGAGAGCGTCAAGTTCATGGCCCGGGAAATCCAGATACTGAGGAGGCTCGACCATCCAAACGTGGTGAAGCTGGAAGGCCTGGTTACCTCCCGCATGTCGTCCAGCCTCTACCTTGTGTTCGAGTACATGGAGCACGATCTTGCCGGGCTCGCAGCTTGTCCGGGCATCATGTTCACAGAACCACAGGTTTGCAAAAGCTACCCTCTCTTTTTTTTTCCTTCAGTTACATGTTTTTTGCGATTTCAGGTTAAATGCTACTTACAACAATTAATACGAGGACTCGATCATTGCCATACCAGAGGCGTGCTGCATCGCGACATCAAAGGGTCCAACCTCTTGATAGATAACAGCGGGATTCTTAAGATTGCCGACTTTGGATTGGCGACGTTTTATCACCCCTACCAGAACCTTGCTTTAACTAGCCGGGTTGTGACGCTCTGGTACAGGCCGCCGGAGCTACTACTCGGTGCTACAGAATACAGTGTTGGGGTGGATCTCTGGAGCACTGGCTGTATACTAGCTGAATTACTGGCTGGCAAGCCCATCATGCCTGGGCGAACGGAAGTATGCTCCTTGGTTTTTATTTTACGATGTTTAGTAACGCCTGCCTTTCTTATTGATCGAACAGGTGGAGCAATTACACAAGATTTTTAAGCTATGTGGCTCGCCATCGGAAGAGTATTGGAAAAAATCCAAACTTCCTCACGCTACGATTTTTAAGCCGCAGCAGCCTTACAAACGCTGCATCGCTGATACTTACAAAGACTTCCCTTCGACCGCACTGGCCCTTCTCGATATTCTTCTTGCGATTGAGCCGGCTGATAGAGGAACTGCAGCTGGAGCACTGAAAGCAGATGTAAGTGGCTCATGCATGCACTTGTAACATTCTAACTTGAGTGCTTCCATGCAGTTTTTTAACACTAAGCCGTTTCCATGCGATCCATCTGTTCTACCAAAATATCCTCCGAGCAAGGAATTTGACGCCAAGATGAGAGATGAAGAGTCCAGGAGGTAATTATATCCTCGTGCTTTTGTCCAATTATACTAAAGCGGTGCTTGTTTTTACCATTCCAGACAGAGAGCAGCCAAGCATGGTGTTGCAGAAGGCCGGAGGCATGGCTCCAGGGAACGTAGCAGGGCCGTGCCTGCGCCCGACGCCAATGCAGAGCTTCACGCTTCCGTACAGGTAATTTCTGCTCGTAATAAATGGCTGCATTTCTTTCTTTTTTTTCTCACGTTTTATTTTTCTATTTTTTACTTTTTATTTTTCCGTCAGAAACGGCGTTTGTCTTCTCATTCCTCGAAGAGCAAGAGCGAAAAGTTTACGTATCTTTCCGAAAAGTCAGCATCTGGATTTCCCATGGAGCCTCCAGCTCCGCGATACGGGCAGCAACCCACGGATGTCCGGGGCACGTCACCGGTTCCACCACGCCAGTTTGTGCCTCCAGCATCATCGCGCTCTGGCCCAATTGGGAACCCGACAGCAGCGACTGCCAACTGGTCCCGGAAGCAACGAGACGAGGACGTGAGAATGGCCCCGCAACGGTCGACGAGCAGGGCAATGCGATCATCCACCGGACAAGTGGAAGTTGACAGGATCACAAGCAGCTCGTCACGGCACGGGTCTTTTGCCGAGCAAGGCCAAGGGAAGGATGGCGACTTCTCCAAGCACAACTTGCGGAGCGTGCTCAAGGCCGCCGACAGGAAACACGAGCTCGACTCCCGGCGCTCGGACGTGTTCCGTGGGCCCCCAAATCTTCCCGAGGCCCCGGCCAAGGACGGAGCGTTTGGAGCGAGAGATTCTCAGCCGACTCCAGCGGTAACATTGTCATATCGGCTGCTTGTGAATGTACTTAAATACTTTTGCTTTGCAGGGCTATGATCCTCAGGAGCGCATGTATCACTCTGGCCCGCTGCTTCGTCCCGGCTTCTCTGCCCCAGTAGACATCGAAGAGCTACTTGAAGAGCACCAGAGAAAGCTCAAGGAGGCGGTGCGGCGGCACGACATGAATCAAGCATCGGCCGAGAAGAGCAACCTCGAAGGGAGTTGATTCCAGGTACTTGTCTTTCCCTTCCTGGGAGTCGGATCTAATACCACCAAAACCGCAGCAGGAGGTCGGCCACCACCAGTGTTGTATTCTGTGTAAGAGTCACGAGGCGGGCGTCTTGCGCTTCGTGCCGCTGCTAGCAAAGCTTGAGCTGTAATTTTTTTCCCCTTGCGTCAGGAGATGGAAAAGACAAAGTACACAAAAGTCTTGACTTACCCGCAAGTTGAGCACTCTCTATGTTGCTTGCAGAAGATTGATAATCGTGCATTTGTGGCAGAAGCGGCTGCAAAGAATGTTTGTTATAAGTTGAGATTGAAGTTTTATTTCTCTTCTACTTACGAGGCCAGAAAATCCACTCCGGGGGAGCTGGATGAATTGCCTTGAGTGTAATCCACTGTGAATCCACCGTGCCTAAGAAAGAACAAGTTCCAACTTTCTCAAATACTCTCTAACAGCGAACCCGCTTGTTGCGGCATTAGAGAAGTTCCACCGGTAATGTCCGCGGCCTGGAATTTTACACTAAAAGGAAAGAAAGAAAAGAGTATCAGCTGAAGAAAGGCCGAATGTAGAGCACCGACCATGCACGCATCGATTGGCACCTAAAAGGCAGTAAGAGATACGCTCGTGAAACTTGATAACCATGGAACGCTGTGCTGAGAAGATCGCATTAGCAATAAAACGCAAACCATTGGATTGGAAAAAAAATCAAAGATCCTACTGATGTGGAGGCTTGAAAGGATGAACTAAAAAGGATAGAAATGAAGCGCGCCGAGAGTAGCGAAGGCTGGACTCTCGGAGGCTGTAGTAGCATCCCTGGAAACGAAATCATTTAACTTCTGTACAATCTTCTCCCTGTTGGAGCCCTGAACAGGACCGCACCATTGCATTCCAGAAATGCTGCCCCACCACCAGGCTGCTATCATCTATCAGTGCGATCGCTCGATCCTTTAATGTTCTTAAAACGACGACTTATTATAAAAAGATGGTCCGCGCTTAGATTCCCGGGAACCCTAAATATTCTTGAAACTGTACTCTTCCCGGGTGCTTAGGGAAAAGCTCTTCTTTCCTCCCTGTTGGCTCACAATGTAAGGAGTGCCAGAAATTCACTTAGCTCCATCTTAATCAGAAAGCGATTTTCTTAAGAGAATTTGCCAGGGCCTCGAAGGAACTGCTCTCTGGAGTTGAGACCTAGTCTTCGTGAAGTATATCATATTAAGGTTTCAACCGAATGGCAGCGGATGCGGTGCGAGCGGAGCAAATCAAGCAGATGATCATTGCCCTTGGGGACGAGAACTTCAGGAAGCTAGTCGATCCAAGGCCAGGTGAGATCGTTGCGTCTCTGCCATTCCCCGGTTTGCCCTGGTCTAGAACAGGCACGAGGCCGTCTAAGGTCTTCGATTTTGTAACTCGGCAGGAATACGGGAAGATACTTTCGCGTCTTGTTGAAAAGATTGGGGAGAACCCAGCCTTGGATGTCTCATGCGTAGTTTCCTTGAGTGGCGTAAAGGGTTCAGGGAAATCATGCTTTTTGCGGGCCTTGGCAATCTTGCTTATCTCGGCCCAGATTCCGAAACTCAGGATCATATGCATCTGGTACTTAGATGCGATGGCCCCTCTCGTCCCACAGATTACGGCCGCACTCTACTTCGCCTTCAGCGATGACGCCGAAGCTGTCGAGAAGATTGGGCTTATTGACTCCCCTGACAGCCTGGATGCTTTTCTGAAAATCAGAGTTCAGAATGAGAAGTTCTTTCTCTTGGTTGATGGCGCAGAACGCTACGATAAGTCACACAAGGACGGTTCACCTAGGCGTTTGGAGGATACAGAAGATGCACAGGCAGCCAGCCGCTGGCTAGATGTCTTTTACAAGTGGTCTACTCACAGGTTCCAGACATTTTCGCGCAACGTAACTCGGGTGGACGTAACACATATCAACGAGCATTTCAATTGTCTTTTCACCTCGGTAAAATAGATTTTTCTTCGCGTATCGTCATTATCTTGCTTACTGCAGGAGGAGTACAATACATTTCTCACGACTTGTAAAATTCTCGGCCCGATGCTCCGAGAGAATCCTGACCGTGTCGCTGTGGTGGACCATCTTGCTGGGAGACATCCTATGTCCTTGTACTTGCTCGAGGAAAAATGTGCGCAGTACGTGAAGACAATAACTGGTGCTGCTTCCAACAAGCGGAAAGTTGAGAATCCGCTCGCGATGGCGGTATTGAAGCGGAAGACTGAAACTGGGCCGGTATGTGGTCATCAACTATGTTTCAGCTAATTGTTTCTTCGTTGGCAGGTACCCTCTAGGTCTACGACTGAGATAGTTTCGTCAGCTCATTGTTTGCCACCCGGCCATAAATTCCTTGCTGATGCTTGCGACTGGAGTGAGGTTGTCTCGTTATTCAGGGAGGATGAAAATTTCCAGTCAATGCGGAAGCAGCCCGACCTCGTGGACGGATTTCTTCTCCCTATTGCCGGCCAGGAGTCTTCGATTCCTTGCACTCCGTTTATCCGGGAACTCGATCTCCAGATGCGTTTGTTAAGGAGGGAGAGCCATGTGTACCGAACTCCGCAGATGCGTGCGCTCCTTCAACAGCTACTGAAGGAAAGGAACACCGTTTGGCCCCAAGTAGGATACATATGCGAGGGGATTGTAGCAGAGGCTGTATTGGACGAGGGCTTCTGTTTTCGAGGCACCAACTACCGGGCGGATCGGGTTGAAAGTTTATCTGGCAAGCCGAAGCTGATAACCGCCAGCGACTTGAACACGAACGAGAAGGTTTTCTACATGACAGGATCGTTTAATTTCAAGTACGTTGACGGCTTGCTTGTCTGGAAGGACGGGCATGGAATGCTACACTTCTGGTTCGTTCAGGTGTGCCTCAACCCCGGAGCTCACAGAAGTACAGAGTTTAAGTTCGTGCGTCGAGAAGAATTTATACAGTGGACAATCCTTACTGATCCTTTCAAGCTATATTATGTGTACGTCTGCCCGAAGCCGACTTCTCTTCCGTCGGAGGAGCACGAGGAAAACAGGACGTTAGAACAAGGTAACGTAGTTTAATTATGGCTTCTCTTGTCTAATGACCCCGCATGTTTCAGGAACTCCGGAGAAGACTAACAAGCCGACATCCAGGAAGAAAGGTAGCCTAGGAATCTTTTCTTGGCTTTTCTTAACTTGCTATGTTTCAGGAACTCCGGAGAAGACTAAGGGCACTAAGAACAAGGAAGCGAAGGAACTGGTGACGCATTATGAGCAGGACGACGGCACAGTTGCATACACAAAAGCAGAGATTGCTTTTGACAGGTGTTTGCGGTTGACAGAGGAGGAAATTGCGCTGCTAAAGGAGTTGGGCAAATTGAGGGAGAGGCTTGCAAACGAAAAGAAGGCCAGGAAGAAGCAGAGAGAGAACGAACTGGATGAGCAGCTGGCCGACAAACAGAAATACCGTGGGATGTTTCTCAGAGCGGAATTGCAGGACATTGCAGAGAAGTACGGAATCCCAGATGCGTCCTCGAGGAAGAAGTTCCCCAGCACACCCGACCTGATTCTAGCAATTCCACTCAACGGTTTAATGGAAGCTGAAGCTGCTAAAATGAAAGCCAAGCAGAAAGCCGGGCGCAAACGGTTGAAGCAGGAGAAAATGCCATTAAATTAACTACGGAGTACGTACCGGGCGTGAATTCCTATTGCCTACGCGTGTGCCATCACAGGTAGGAGATGGCGGCGGTATTGCGAATGCTGTCTTGCAGTCTAGATGTCACTCTTTACGGCGCTCCGGGAGCTGGGAGAAGCGCTTGCCCGCTCGAGAATCCGAGGAGCTGCGTTGGATTCCAATGGATGGGAATGAGCTGCCGCAGCTAGGAGCTGCAATCAAGGAAGAAGCTAGTCTCCACAGCGCACCTATCTGCGCAAAGTCGTCCTGATCGCAGGAAAGTCCCAACGACAAATCCTACTCGCGGCCACAGCTGCGCATTTATCTACGAGCATCGAGTTGGATCGTGTTCGAGAGATCCAAAGCCAGGAGCATGGACAAGCGCCGGGCGAGGCTGCACAGGATCCATGCACAGGATCCAAATCCTTCCCCAAGGTCGCCGCGGATGGCGGTGGCTGGCGAGGCGATCAAAGGCTGGATGTTGATTCTTTCGAAAAGCTTGACAAGGTTAAGGACAGCAAAGATTTTATGGGAACGTTTCTTATCATTGCAGATTGGACAAGGAACTTACAGTAACGTATACAAGGCTCGTGATCTCGACTCTGGAAAGGTCGTGGCACTTGTCATGTATCACTCGCTTCGAGAGCATCAGAGAAAGCTCAAGGAGGCCGTGCGGCGGCACGACATGAGCCAAGCATCGACGAAGGGAGTTGATCCTGGGAGTTGGAACTAATACCACCAAAACCGCAGCAGGAGGTCGGCTGTTGTATTCTGTGTAAGAGTCACGAGGCGGGCGTCTTGCGCTTCGTGCCGCTGCTAGCAAAGCTTGAGCTGTAATTTTTTTCCCTCACGTCAGAAGATGGAAAAGAGGAAAGTAGACAAAAGTCTTGACTTACCCGCAAGTTGAGCACTCCTTATGTTGCTTGCAGAAGATTGATAAACAAACCGAGCATATATAGCCCATGTCAATTGTGCGTTTGTGGCAGAAACAGCTGCAAAGAATGTCTGTTATAATTTGATTGAAGCTTTTTTCTCTTCTCCTTACGAGGCCCGAAAATCCACTCCTGCCGAGCGGGGGAGCTGGATGAATTGCCTAGAGTGTAAATCCACTGTGAAAATTGTCTGCCGGAAACATCTCTTAAGAATGAAAAAGGAAGTTCCAAGTTTTATACCATCAAGTACTCTAACAGCGAATCCGCTTGTTGCGGCATTAAGTAAGTTCCACCGGTAATGTCCGCGGCCTGGAATGTTACGATAGAAGAAAAGGAAACGAAAGAGTCTCACTTCAAACCTGTTGAAGAAAGGCCGAATGTTGAGCACCGACCATGCACGCATCGATTGGCACCTAAAACGCAGTAAGAGATGGTTAATATACGCTTCTTGATAAAGCTCGTGAAACTTGATAACCATGGAACGCTGTGCTGAGAAGATCGCATTCATGATAGCAATGTACCTTCAAAACCCGAACCATCGTATGAAACCACGTATTACTCGGAAAAAAGAAAACAAAAAAACAAAATATCCTACTGATGAGGAGCGTCAGGCGAGGCTTGCAAGCAAAGCATCTGTAGTAAGCAAATGTAAGACAAGCGGGTCAAACCACGCTACTCACCCTGGGCTTGGAAGGACCTATCTTTTCTTTGAGTGCCCTTTGGATATCTGCGAAGGGAAAGAGGAAAA